CCCCAAAACCCCAAAACCCCAAAACCCCAAAACCCCATATCATTATTTTAATAATGATTAAATAGAAATAATTTTAATGTCAAAAAGCCAGTCTAAAATCAACATGTGAGGGTCAAAACTATCAAAAACCCTCGACCATTCCAAACCCTCATCCTCCACAATCACTATCCATGATGAAAAGCCTAACAAAAATTATTCAAAATCCCCGATTCTTAAGGTACATTTGAAACCTCAAAAAATTTAAAATTTTTCAAAATAACAAATCTCAACATATTTTCAAATCTGACAAAGAAATTTCCTGATGATCCTTAGTAGGGGTTAACGATTTTTATTGGAAATTTTATAGGAATTTAAGCAAGAAATTTGGAATGATTGGATCAAATATGGGCCTTTGGAAGAAAAACAATGGGAAAATGTTAGGATAGAAGATTTGAAGGAGAAAATTACTGAATTTAAAATTGAAATGTTGACTTCTCTTGATGGATATGTTGAAACTCATGGAAGGAGACATCAGAAGAAGTCAGATTCAGATTCAAAGCAAAGAGGTAAAATTTATGGCAAATTTAGTCTTATGTCATTCTAAATATGATATCTTTGGAGTTCCTTTAGTAAGTTTCTCTTAAAATATAAGTTCATACAAAAGAATTTCAGGCCAAATTATAAAACAAACTTCTTCATCTTATTTAGGATCATTTGAATTCAAATATTTTGGCCAAGTAAACAATGCAGGCCAGAGGCATGGAATTGGAGTCTGTAAGACACTCCCTGATTCTTTAGGTTTGTATAGAACAGGAAGAATGTACCAAGGAACTTGGCATGAAGACAAAAGGTCCAGTTACGGAAAAGAAACTCTCTCCAACAACCAGACCTATCAAGGAGAGTTCAAGAACGGTAAATTTCATGGAGAAGGGCTATATACCTGGACTAACGGCGATACCTACAACGGTAGCTGGCAAAACGGACTTAAGCATGGACAAGGTACTTGGAAGCGAGAAAATGGAGACTTTTATAAAGGGAATTGGTTTCAGTAAGTTTTCATCTTATTTTAAACAATTTTCTGTATCATCCTCCTCCGAATTTTCATGACATTAATCCTTACTACAGAGGAAAAATTGAGGGCTTCGGAATTTATAAGAGCAAACATGGGGATAACTATGAAGGCGAGTGGAAGAACTTCAAGAGACACGGCAAAGGAATCCTAATCGATAAATAATCAGATCACAACGATCGGAGAATTCAAGGACGGCCTCATAGAAGGGTTTGGAGAACGAATATGGACAGGTACATCTACAAGCTCTCAGGTATTTAAAATACTTCCTTAGTTGGTATAAAATATAGGAATGTCACCAGTTTACTTATAAAGGTAAGACTCTTCTTCATTATTGTAGGACATTTCAAGAATGGACAAATGAATGGCCAAGGAAAATGGCGCAAAGGGATGGGAGAGACTGCAAATATTTACGAAGGCTCTTTTAAAAATGGTATGAAGCATGGAAAAGGTACATTTACCTGGAGAAAAACAAGTGATTCCTACACAGGAGAGTTTAAAAACGATCTCAGAGATTGCTATGGAGTCTATACTTGGGCAGATGGTACTAAGTATGAGGGACAATGGAAAAATACCATGCATGGAGAAGGCAAGATGATTTACACCTCTGGTAAAATTCAGAAGCAGTATTACATTCGTGGCAGGCTAATTACTGGTTCTGAAAAACAAAGAATAACTCTAAATCAGCTCAAGGATAAGTATCTCAAACTTAATATTGTTAAGAAAAAGATTGTATTGGCTTTTAGTGGAGATCATTTAAACAAAGCCGAAGAAAGCCCAAAAAGAACAGTGAAAGCTTTTAATCCTAAAATAAACAAAGATTTTGAAATTAATAAGAAAGCATGGTATGAAAAAGAAATAAGCCAAATTTTATAGTTTTATCAGCGTTTGTATATTTTCTTCAAAAATTTGAGTTATTTTCTAACAAATAAAATACCAGGAAAAGGATGCCACTATTGAGATATTTGGATAGGAAATTAAGAAATATTATCTTCAAACAAATTGAATTTAATCCAGATTTTCTGAGTTATAGAACTAGACATGATTATTGTAAAATTTTCTAAAACATCAATTTAACACCAAAAATTTTATAGCCTATTCTTTCTATTGTAAAATTCTTCATATATAGAATATATGCGATCCCACTAAGTTCTAAGTCAGTGCACAGACCTATAAAGAGAGATCGAACCACAATGGCCCAGTACAGCAATCTTGTGCAGACTAGGATGAACCGGTCGTCTGAAGCATTCACAAGATCTTTCAGCAATAACAGTAAAGTCAAAGATCTGTCTATGAAGATAACTGAAAATACAAGTAAGCTCCCTGATGAGTACACAAGATGAGCTACAGCTCAGAATGACTCCTTGTAAGCCATCTTTGTTAGAACTCTAGTGGAAGGTCATTTATGATGAATAGCTCTCAAAACCCTCAAACTTCAATAGTTGAAATGAAAAATTTAGACCTTGGAGGTACATCTTTTGACAAGAGAATACAGAATTCTCAGGTTTCTATATCAAAAACAAACAAAAAATTGTATGGATCTCTAGATCCAAATGGAAGAGTCAGTATTGGAGACTCGACTCTTTCAAGTGGTATTTACAAGAATTTTGTTGGTGCAAATCCATTTCAAAGAGCTCAAAGCGAGAACTCATTTTCAAAGAAAAAATCATGTAGTGTTCATAATCCCCAAAAGATACTAAAGAGTAGAGATCTGTCTGGTCAAAGTAAGATTTTTATGTTATTCTAGCAGGGTCCCGACCAGTCCAGCTGGAGAAGGAGCACTGTGATCTGAAGTTGAGTCAGTACAAACTTGAGAGGTTTATCAAAGCTTATAGGGACAGAAGCAGAGGTTCAAAATTTAGCACCGTTTCTGATCCTCAATAAATCCTTTGCATCTTCAACATTTTCTGACATACATGGGGTTTTGGGGTTTTGGGGTTTTGGGGTTTTGGGG